TCACCAATGTGGTCAACTGAGCCTCCGTCTTGCTGGGGACCCTCTGGAGAACCCTGAAGAATGATTGTCAGACTGTCCATCTTAGGAACGGAAGAGAGAGTATTTATTGACTGGATCTGACTTCATTGGTCAAGATACCCAATAAAGTAGAAAAAGTAGGACAAGAGCTTCATAACCTCAGGCTTGGCCAAGATTTTTAAAACAAGATTAAAAAACATAATTATAAAGGATAATATGGACAGATTATACAAAGATATACTCTTCTGCACATTGAAAACATGAAAAATCAGGTGAAAGGAGAGGTCAAAGGGTGACATGAAAGAGGGTGGGGGATCTCCTGTAGGAGATCGTGGTGACCCAGTTGACAAGAGAAGAGTGTGAGTCCATTTGCTCAGTCTGAAGAGCAGCACATTCTCCCAGGTCACTCACTTGATCACAGTGATGCCAACGCCTGCCAAGTGTTAGGAGGCAAGGGGCAGACAGCAACTCCCACTCAGAAAGGCCATGATCAGGTGATCACTGCAGGCCACCCTCATATAAGCCCTACCAGTTTGATCTTCTTGACTGGAGAAACCAGTGTGCCTGGGAACAGATATTTGCAAGTCTAAGGCCCCAGGTTGCTGAGTAGAGGTCTCTTCCTTTTACATCACTGCTTCCCATACCTGCTGCCTATCCCCTGCCTCTCCTGTGAGGCCAGCAAGGCACTCACCTGTGGCCAGTCTGGGAGAATCCCAGCCTGCTGCCCCCTGAGAACATCAGTCTAGAAGTCACATCACCCCCATAGTGAGACCTTCAGAGAACCCGAGTTAGCCAACACCATTGATAGATAATTGGTCATCATTCATGACAAAGAGTAAACAATGAAAAATCCCTAAACTTCGAATTTGTAGTTTCCTGACATTTCTTCATCCATTCTTTTATTTTTAATGTTTTCTATTGTTTAAGTATATGCTTTATGGTATCATATATTTAGATTAAATTTTCACAAACTGCTAGAATTAATTTATTCATGTAGTTGCTTATCCAATGGCTATTTATTGGGCACTTACTGTGAATCAACCCACTATCTTAGGTGCTGGGATACAGTGTGAATAAAACAAAGTCCTTGTTGGCCTAGAGCTTACATTTTAGTGGGGAGACAAACAATGAAGAAATAAGTACATAAGATGACAGAGTGCTCTGATGAAATGTGTACCAGCAAAGGGTGTCAGGGAGTAGAGAGCGGAGCTAGAAGTGTGTGTGGAGGGGAGAGGATGTGCTATTTTACATTGAAGGATCAGGAAAAACTTCTAATACGTCAACACTTGAGCAGACACCTGAAGGAAGTCAGGGAGTCAGCCATGGATCCTATCCTTCACTGATCAAGACACCCAAATCATGCTCCTAGGAAGACCATCATAGGCTCTGGGTTCACACTTTATCCTGTGCAAGTGAGGGTCACTATGAAATGTCCTGCCATTTCCAACAGGCTGAGCTATGACAACTTCAGCTGCAGCCAACAAGATTCTACCCAGTTTTTAGTGTGAGCATGCACTTGGCCAGAGTCTTTCAAAATACTTGGCATCTGTACCAAAGACTTCTACCCCTCTATTTAAGAGCTTCCCTAAATCCTCCAAATTGGGCTCTTCCTTCTGCTCCACCAAATTCTGTATCTCACTCTGGCAATGATAGGCAGTTTTGAAGCCCGTTTGTATATCATCACCCAAAACAGGTAGGTACCTTGAAGAAAGACTGAGCCTTTAGTACAGCTGAGGTCTGATTTACAGGGAAGAAAAGCTGTGGGAGAATTGGGAGTGTGGGAGGTGTAAGTAGAGCAATGGAAAAGGAAGTGTGTTAACATCCGTGAGGATGGGGGCTGGTAAATGCAAAGGGTTTAAGGAAAGAGATCATCAGTATTTCGAGATAAAAGAAAAAAATGTAGAAGGTATTTTATTGATGTTGACAATAATAAGTGACTATAAGTTTTAGTAATGCTTATAAAATATTACATAAGATATAGTTTGAAAAAAGATATCATACGCATCCTCACCTAAATATTGAACTAATTGTTCTCATTATGTATTTAGGTGAAGACAAGAAAGGAAATCTGAAAACAAAAAGATACAAGATCTCAAACTGATTCAGAATGGAGAATGGGGGAGCTGTGGTAGAAAATCTGTATGCATCCTATGTCACTGTTGTAAGGTGAAATCTTTTGCAGACATTTGCTATTTCTGCCAATAACACTGAGGTGTCTGGGCTTACATTTCTTAGAAGGCAAACTAAAGAAATTCTATAGACCAGATGTGTAAAACATATATTTTCATAACAAAAGAAATTACAGAAAAAGATGAAAGGAAATTCCTGTCAACCCATAGTTGTAAAAGGAGAGGAACATTCTGTACCATAATATAAAGAATGTTATTTGAGATAGTGTTAAAGAAAGTGAGAAATTTCGGAAGAAAATAAGTTTTATTCTTTTGTATTAAATAATATATAATATATGGAGATGTGTTTATTCATAACCATTCCATTTTTTCTTTTTTCTCTGTTAATATAAATTTGTTCCGGATAATTATTTGAAGGTGTTTTGAAATACTCCCTCCCCCCCAAATATAAATTATTGCCATTTCTCATGAAACTAATTTCCAAAGAAACCTGTAATTTGATTATCTTGACATTTGATAATTTCTGAGACTGGCTGTAATATTTAAGTGACATCTGGATTTCTAAACTGTGTAAATTCTTGTGCAATTTTATATTAAATCAGTGGCATTCTGATTCCCTCATATGTAAGTAGGTAATAAAATGACTACAGATCTTCCACGTAAATCAAAATTTTGAGAGATTCATCTCATTAAAACTCACTCCATGCTGGAGACTCAGACTTGTGGGGAAAGGGGGGGAATGGGCATTTATTGAAACCTTAAAATCTGTACCCCCATAATATGTCGAAATTTAAAAAAAACTCACTCCAGTTATTACACAATGAAAAAAAAGAAATATTCATGGTAATACATAAATTTATACAACATATAAAACTTCAAAAATGCAAGAGTTGTACAAAGAAAATTCTTAGTGCAAGAACATTAAATAAGACATGAATAAAAGGGTAAAAAAACCTCTCTTCTGCCTAAATTAATCTGGAAATTCAATGCATTCTAATCAAAGGTTCTAATGGATTTAGGAAAGGAGTAAGGGGAGATCTTTCTGAGTTCATCCTAAAATTTACCCTCAGTGAATCATCAGGATGGTTCTACCTCTGAGTTCTTTCTCTTCTCTAGCCACTCACAATTGCAAGGTTGTGGAAACAAGCCAGTTGCCCATCAATACATGAGTGGATTAATAAAATGTGGCATATGTATACCATGGAGTACTATTCAGCTTTAAAAAACAATGAGAATATAGCACCTCTTGTATTTTCCTGGATGGAGCTGGAACTCATTTTACTAAGTGAAGTATCTCAAGAATGGAAAAACAAGCACCACATGTACTCACCAGCAAATTGGCATGAACGGATCAACACCTAAGTGGACATATAGGAATAACATTTATCGGGTGTTGGGTGGGTGGGATGGGGAGGAGGGGATGGGTATATACAAACATAATGAGTGAGATGTGCAACATTTGGGAGATGGTCACGCTTGAAGCTCTGACTCGAAGGGGGAGAGGGGACATGGGCAATATATGTAACCTTAACATTTGTACCCCTATAATATGCTGAAATAAAAAAAATGGAAAAAAAAACCCAAAGCAAACACAGAATATAGACAGGTAAAGATACTGTGTGATCAAACTGGAGATTTAAATCATGATGCAACAGTGTAGAGAATATTTTTCAAATTCCCACCTCATATACACAAAGAGGCAAATCCCATGTGGATGTACATGTAAACATTAAAAATAATCAGGTACTTCAAACATTCTAGAATCAAATATAGAACAATATTTTTTAAATCTTGAGGAAGAAATGGCTGTTGTAAATACCATATGAAATCTAGGCACCAGTGAGAAAAGGCCTGACAAATTTAACTGCATAAAAATATAAACTTCTCTAGGACAAAAGATTCCTTTAAGAAACCTAAAAGAAAAATAACAAATGGGACAAAATATTAGAGAAACACACATGATCAAGATTTAATATATATGTAACATATAAGTATTTCTTTTTCTTTTTCATTTTTAAGAGATAGTATCTCGCTGTGTTGCCCAGGCTGGAGTGCAGCGGCATGATACCCTAGTTCACTATAACCTTGAATTCCTGCTTTGAGCAATTCTCCTGCCTCAGTCTCCCAAGTAATTAGGACTATAGGTATGCATCACCATGCCCAGGTTATGTAAAAAAAAATTTCTGTACAGAGAGGTCCCATTGTGTCTTGAACTCCTGACCTCAAGCGATCCTCTCATCTTGGCCTCCCTAAGTGCTGGGATTCCAGGCATGAGACACTGTGCCTGGCCCAGATAAGTATTTCCATATTCATTCAGCAAAGTAAGAAAAAGATAGACACCACAACAGAGAACACTGACTACATTCTACAACAAAGAGTTTTATGAAGAAGAAAAACAAATGACCAATAACAAATAAAAAATTCCTCACCATGTTAAGAATGAAAACAATGCACATTACACCAGCACTGAAAAAGTTTTCCATATTTCAGTTAAAAAATTAAATGCTTGTATTTTCTCAGTATGAATATTAGTTTAAAAAGCAAGGACATAGAAAAGTATGTGTAAAAATTACTTCATTTAAAGAACTATAATTATATTTCAAAATGTGTTAATACATGCATAGAAAAATTCTGCAATGATATAATCCAACATTTATAAGAAACATTTTGAAATCAGAATAAAAGTCAAACATAAAGATATGAGCATTTTGAAAAGGATAAATTGCTAGTTCAAATGGCATTTATTTTTTTTTTTATCTCAGGGAAGGTATAGAAAATAATGACAATAAACCTTATCATTAAAAATACTTCATTTGTCACATAAAAATCAAGTAAATTCATATTTGTGCTTACTTCTTTTTCCACTGTGTTTTTTCAAAGCAGAATTGTTTCCAGCATCCGTGGTATCTAGAAAGTGACAAGTGGTAGTGGTCAGAGAACTGTAGTTTATAAATAAAAGTTACAAATCTTATGACAATTCACACTGTTAAAGCTTGAGTTTATAATGATGTTGTGAATATCATTTCCCTGTATTCCTTCTAAAAGAAACAAACAGGTACTGAACTGATATCTAAGGTCTACCTTTAGATTTCTAAGAGTTTGAAAAGCTGTTAATTACTTACATGTACCAATTTCCTCATTTATGAAATGGATAGGACCAGTTATCCTGTTCAGGTTTTCTATATTTTGTGAAGATTAAATAAGTTAATAGGAAATCACCATATAAATCAATAACATGCTAGAGGACATCCTTCAAAACTATGCATTTTTAGTTTAAGAATAGTTATCTGAGGCCTTCTTCCTGACAGGTAACAGGACCATTTGGCTTTTTTAGGCCTTTCTGAGGTTGTGACAAAGTGACACTATTATCTACCAATGTAAGAACATGGCTTTCTTTGTTCTGCGAACAAGGGTGAAAGTCACTGTATAAATCCAGCACTTTAGTATTGATATGCTAATAGAGTAAATGAGATACCATTTTTACCCCTGTATTTCTACATCATTCCTACATAACCACGAGAGCCCATCCTGTTAAACATGGCTCTATATTGATCTCCTGCCTCCCTGCAGTTCCCAAAAGGGTCAGGCCAAGCAAAGGCAGAGACCAGGACTCTGGCCTGGACCAGGCCTGTTCCTTGTCACAGTGTGTTCACAGTCAATCGTGCAGGAATTAGGAACTCTGATTTTAGACTTTTGAACTTCTGACACTTGGGGTCTGTGGGCCCACTTCCTGCTGGTGAGCCAGAGGCTTCTTCATGCTGTTCTTGAACTCTGATCACCTGTCACAACCCTCCCTAGTGTCTGTGGTGTCCGCTCAGCTGTGTCCATCCCAAGACCCTTGGGCAGCCTTACCCATCATGTCAGATGTTTGGCTACTTTCTGCTGTTGCTTCTTGACTTGTTGGCACTCCACTTGAAAAACACATGACACAGGAACACTTCTCCTTTTCAGGTCTTTGTAGGTCTGCTCCTAAATTTTAATTTGTAAATAGTTTCATTTGTGACCTATCCCCTCCAAACATTAGTGACTACCCACTTCTATATTAAAGCATGGATCTACCTCTGAAATCTCTTTCTCTTTTCTTGTTCCTCACTGTATTTATCCTTTCCTTTCATGAATGACCCCAAGAATTTCAACTTGAAAGAAAGGGTATATTAACAGTGGATTTCACTCATGGAGAACACTGGAGAAGCAGAGGCTGGTTGTAAGGGGAAAAGTTGATGTGCTCAGTTTTGGAGGAGTTCAGTTTGAACTTTGTAGATCTTGAGAGACATTCAAGTGGAGAAGGATAGAACCTTCAGGACCTCAGACAGAGACCTTCTATCACTTGGATGAATGAGTGCAGAAGTTTCAAGACGGGGCTGGCTGGAGACATGTGTTTAAAATCACTAAGTTGTAGGTGGTGACTGAACTTATAGGAATGCATGAAATGCCAGGGCCAGGTCTTTTGTAATCTGGGTGAGTCACAGAGGCCAGTGTGATACTTGGAGACAACTTACTCTGAAAACTCACTGCTACTGGGAACCAAGCCTTGTGCCAAAGTTGCTTTTGTCTCATGCTCATCTCAGACCCCACAATTTCTCCATCTCTTTCCTCTCTTCATTTTATACTGCCTCTTCTCTCTTCCATTTTTCTCTCATCTTTTAACTCTTTTTCTACATAATTCTCATCATGCTTCATCTTTTACAGATCTCCATTTATTACTCACTGTATGTAAATCATTCCACCTAGTTTTCTGTTTCTATCTCTGAATCTAGCTTTATTATTAAGATGATCCTCTTTCTACCATTACTTCCCTTTCTGTTCTCTCTTTCAGCTCTGTTACTCTCAATCTTATCTTGATCCTTTTTTTATATATATTTTATTTCGGCATATTTTGGGGATACAAATTTTAAGGTTATCTTGATCCTTTGTCTGGTTTGGCTGGTTATATAATTTCAATCTTTGACTTCATCCATATTTTCTTTTTTCCTTTTTTTTGGTTACACATGCGTTTTATTTTATTTTTTATTTATGTATTTTTATTTTAGCATATTACAGGGGTGCAAATATACAGGTTACATATATTGCCTTTGTCCAACCACAGTCAGAGCTTCAAGCTTGTCCATCCCCAGATGGTGTGCACTGCACCTGTTAGGTGTGTGTATACCCATCTCTGCCTCCCCCTTCCCACCTGCCAAACACTCAGTGGATGTTACTACTATATGTGTATTTAAGTGTTGGTCAGTTAATTCAGTTAATACCAATTTGGTGGTGAGTACATGCGCTTTGTTTTCCATTCTTGTGATATTTCACTTAGTAGAATGGGTTTCAGCTCTATCCAGTATAATACAAGAGGTGCTAGATCATCATTGTTTTTTTGTGGCTGAATAGAACTCTATGTTATATGTATACCACATTTTATTAATCCACTCATGTATTTATGGGCACTTGGGTTGTTTCCACATCTTTACAATTGTGAATTGTGCTGCTATAAACATTTGAGTGCAGTGGTCTATTTTATAAAGTGTCTTTTGTTCCTTTGGGTAGATGCCCAGTAATGGGATTGCTGGGTCAAATGGTATAAAACGCAGGAAAATCAGCAAGAAAAAAAATCAAACAATCCTATCCAAAAGTGGGCAAAGGACATGAACACAAACTTTCCAAAAGAAGATAGACTAATGGCCAACAAACATATGAAAAAATGCTCAACATCTCTAATTATCAGGGAAATGCAAATCTAAACTACAATGAGACATCACTTAGTTCCAGTGAGAATGGCCTTTATCAAAAAGTCTCAAAATAATAAATGTTGGTGTGGATTCAGAGAGATAGGAATACTCATATACTTGTGGTGGGACTGCAAACTAGTACAACCTTTGTGGAAAGTAATATGGAGTTACCTCAAAGAGTTACAAGTAGATCTACCATTTGACCCAGCAATCCCATTACTGGAAATTGGAAAATGAAGTTCATGTAGGAGGGGTTGAAATATTTCTACCACTGGGCCACCTTTGCCGTCATCTGCCCTGTTGGTCATGATTGGTCTAGGAGCCATCCCCATGGCTGGGGCTCGGGACAACTTTGCCAAGGTAGGGACTCCCTTTTGTCACCAATTCTTACACTTATTATCCTTTCCACTTGTTTGTACACAATTCTGCTTCCACATCAGTTTCTCATCCAGCTAAACCAAGGAAACAACATTTTAAAGATGTCAGAGCCTCCATCTCTGGGCCTAAATGACTGTATGGAGAAGGGAACTATGCCCGTTAGGAACCCTTTTATCCTATTTGTGTGAGTGAAGAATAAACCTGTTTCCACTTGGGCCATTGAAGACTTTGAGGCCTATGTGATGATTTCCTTTTGTGTATCCTACAAGTAGATGTGTTTCCAATATTCACAATATATAGAAAGAAAAGGAAAACAAATACATTAATTTATAACTAAAAGGATTATAAATCTTCTGACTACTTACATTGTAGCCAGGATTTGGACTGCAAAGACGCTCTGATGATGGACAGAAAGATACAGGAATACTGTGCTGACAGTGCTCCATCAAATATAAAGGGTGGGGATAGAGAATAAGTACACTATTTCAACTCTTTAGCATTAATATATATGACAATGTGTAGTAAAACAGACTGTCGTTTTACTAACATATTTTTGCTAGATTTTCAATGTATGATTCAATTGGACCCATCTAATCAAAGATCAATTTGTAATGCCTTCCTAACACTTTCCATTTCCCAATAGGACCAGTGAGGTTAAATGCAGAAAATGATACCTTAGAAGTTACAGAAGCAAGGCATATGGAGAATGTTCAGAATACAATTCATCAGGAAAACAGCTCTGCATTTGGATTTTGAATAGCCTGTGCAGGAGGTGCTGCAACTCTAATATTCTTACCTGGTGCATTCTGAGGTTGTGAGCAAGTGGCTTCTTGGGTCTCCTCTCTCTCATGTGATTCTGAAAATCCATATTCCTTGACCACTGCACAAAAGAATAGAATTCTTTAGGGGTCTCAGTGTGTGGCCAAGGGAATTTCCTAATAGGAAAACTTGGAAAAACCTTGAAATTCCATGCAAGTCTTGGACTGCATCCAGGTCAAACTGGTCTTCCCTTCTAAGTTACCTGCCTTGTAGGTGAGTGATGCTCAATTCCTGTCCCCACAGGCAGAGAAAATTCACTGGCAAGCGTCAACGTTGCTTTGCTGACCTTTGATTTCCTGTACTGCTCTCTGTTACTTCTCACCCCTTCTCCCTGTCATTCCACATTTCCCTCATTTCTCCCTCTGTTTTCCATGCTAGGAGGCTTTGAAGATCTTGCATTGAAGGTGTCAAGCTTCCTTTACCTGCACCAACCAGGTGCCTCCTTTTAAAAAATTTTTGTTTTTTAAAAATTTTTAACTTTTAAAAATTATATCAGAATATTATGGGGGTACAAATGCCTTGGGTACACAAATTGCCTTTACACTGCCCAAGTCAAAGCTAAAAGCATGCCCATCCCCAGAAAGCATGTTTCATACCCATTAGGTGTGAATTTACCTATCCTTGCCTCCCTCCCACCTGCCTGATCCCCAATGTTACTTCCATATGTGCACATAAGTGTTGATTGATTAGTATTAATTTAATGGTGAGTACATTTGGTGATTGTTTTTCTATTATTGTGATACTTCAGTTAGTAAAACGGGTTCCAGCTCTGTCCAGGTTAATACAAGGGGTTGTTAGTTCACCATTCTTTTTAATGGCTGATTAGTACTCCATGGAATGAATATATCACATTTTATTAATTCACTTATGTACTGATGGGTGCTTGAGTTGTTTCCACATCTTTGCAATTGTGAATTGTGCTGCTATAAACATTCTAGTGCAGATATGTTTTTTATAGAATTTGTTTTTTCCCTTGGGTCAATACCTAGTAGTGGGATTGCTGGATCAAATGGTAGTTCTACTTTTAGTTCCTTGAGTTATCTCCATATGACTTCCACAGAGGTTGTACTAGTTTGCAGTCCCACCAGCAGTGTAAGAGTGTTCTTATGTCTCTGCATTCACACCAACATTTGTTGTTTTGGGACTTTTTGATAAAAGCCATTCTCACTGGAGTTAAATGATAACTCACTATGGTTTTCATTTACATTTCCCTGATGATTAGAGATCTTGAGCATTTTTTATATGTTTGTTAGCCATTAGTCTATCTTCTTTTGGAAAGTTTCTGTTCATGTCTTTTTTCCACTTTTTAATGGAGTTTTTTGATTTTTTTGTGTTTGATTTTCCTGAGTTCTATATAGATTCTAGTTATCAGCCCATTATCAGATGTATACCATGAAAATATTTTCTCCCATTCTGTAGGTTTTCTATTAGCTCTCATAATAGATTCCTTGACTGTGCAGAAGCTTTTAAATTTGATCAGGTCCCATTTGTTTATTTTTGTTGTTGCTGTTATTGCTTTAGGAGTATTCTTCATAAATTCTTTGCCTATGCCGATGTCTATAAGAGTTTTTCCAACATTTTATTCTAGAATTCTTATGTTTTCATGCCTTAGGTTCAAGTCTGTTATCCATCATGAAATGATTTTTGTGTGCAGTGATAGGTGCTGATCCTGTTTCAGTCTTCTACATGTGGCTATTGAGTTTTCCAAGCACCATTTATTGAATAAGGATTCTTTTCCCCAGTGTATGTTTTTTCTGCTTTGTCAAAGATCAGGTGACAATATAAGGATGGATTTATATTTGGATTCTCAGACCTGTTTCATTGGTCTATGTCTCTGTTCTTGTGCCAGTAAAATGCTGTTTTGGTTGCTATAGCCTTGTGGTATAGCTTGAAGTCTGATAAATTGTTGCCTCCCAATTTGTTCTTTTTGCTTAAGGTTGTTTTGGCTATATGGAGTCTTCTCTGGTTCTGTATGGAGCATGGACTTATTTTTTCTAGACCTGCAAAAAATGAAGTTGGTATTGTAATAGGGATTGCATTGAATCTTTAGATCACTTTGGGTAGTACAGACATTTTAACAATATTGATTCTGCCAATCCATGAGCATGGTATGTTTTTCCACCTGTTTACATCCTCTGCTATTTCCTTCCTCAGTGTTTTGTAGTTCTCCCTGTAGAGGTCTTTGACCTCCTTAGTTAAATATTCCTAGGTATTTTATTTTCTTTGTTGCTATTGTGAAAGGTATTGAGTCTTTGATTTGGTTCTCAGCTTGACTGTTGTTGGCATATATGAGTGCTGCTGATTTGTGTACATTTATTTTGTAACCTGATAGCTTGCTGAACTTATTTATCAATTCCATTAGTCTCTTGGCAGAATCTTTGGCGTTTTCCCAATATAAGATCATATCATCAGCAAAGAGCGATAGTTTGTCCTTTTATGCCCCAGTTTGTATCTGCTTTCTTTCTTTCTCTTGTCTGATTGCACTGGCCAGGACTTACAGCACTATGTTGAATAGAAGTGTTCATAGAGAGCAACCTTGTCTGGATCCACTTCTAGGCAGGAATGCTTTCAATTTTCCCCACTCAGTATGATGTTAGCTGTGGGTTTGTCATATGTGGTTTTTTATCATTTTGAGGTAAACCCTGTCTACATCTGTTTTGTTAAGTCTTCTTATCATAAATGGGTGCTGAATTTTGTCAAACGCTTTTTCTGTGTCTATTGAGAGGATCATATGATCTTTGTTTTTACTTCCATTATGAAGTGAATTACATTTATAGTTTTGTGTATGTTGAACCATCCCTGCATCTTTGGGATGAAGCCCACTTGGTTGTGATGGATTATTTTTTTTTTGATGGGCAGCTGAATTTGATTTGCTAGGATTTTATTGAGGTTTATGCATCTATATTCATGAGTAATATTGGTCTGTAGTTTTCTTTTTTTGCTGAATATATCTGTTTGGTATCAGGGTGATGCTGGCTTCATAAACATGTTAGAGAGGATTCCTTCCTTCTTGATGTTTTGGAATAGTTTCTTCAGGATATGTACCAGTTCTTCTTTGCAGGTCTGGTAACATTTAGGTGTGAAATCATTTGGTCAGGGACTTTTTTTTTTTTTTGGAAGAATGTTTATTGCTGCTTCAATCTGTGTTCTTGATATTGGTCTGTTCAGGAATTCTAAATTTCTTCTTGGTTGAGCCTTGTGAGGCTGTGTGTTTCTAAGAATTTGTCCATGTCCTGCACATTTTCGAGTTCATGTGTATAGAGATTTTTATACTCTTCAGAGATTATGTTTTGTATTTCCATGGTATCAGTTATAATTTCCCCTTTTTTCCATGATTGAGCTTCTTGGAGTCCTTTCTTTTATGTTTCTGGTTAATCTAGTGAGAAACCTGTCAATATTGTTTATCTTTTCAGAGAACCAACTTTTTGTTTCTTTAATCTTCTGTATAGTTCTTTTGTTATTGATTTCATTTTGTTTTGCTCTTATCTTGGTTATTTGGTTTTTTTTTTGTGCTGGGTTTGGGATTTGTTTACTCATCCTTTTCTAGTTCTTTGAGACAATTACTTAGATTGTTGATTTTTGATCTTTCTATATTTTGGATGTAGCCATTTATGGCTATGCATTTTGCTTGCAGGACTGCTTTTTCAGAATCCCACTCATTTTGATAACTTGTATTCCCTTTGTCATTTAGTTTGAAGAATCTGATAATTTCTATCTTAATTTCCTCTTTGACCTGGCTATCATTTGATAAAAGGTTGTTTAGTTTCTATGATTTTGTGTAGAGACGAGTGTTTCTGTGGAACTGATTTCTAATTTTATTCCATGGTGGTCTGAGAAGATGTATGGCATAATTTCTATTTTCTGAAATTTGTTGAGACATGTTTTGTGGCCTAGGATGTGATCAATTTTAGAGAATGTTTCATGCTGATGAGTAGAACGTATATTCAGTGGTTTTGTGGTAGAATGTTCTGTAAATGTCTGTGAGACCTGTTTGTTCTAGAGTTCTGTTTCAGTCCATTGTTTATTTGTTTATTTTATGTTTGGAAGATCTTTCCTGTTTTGTCAGAGGAGTATTGGAGTCTCAAGCTATTACAGTGTTGCTGTTTATCATTTTGTTTAGATCAGGTAGGATTTACTTTATGAATCTGTGCATGCCTGTGTTAGGTACACAAATATTTAGAATTGGTATGTCTTCTTTTTGAAGACAATTGTTTCCTTTACAATTATATAATGAGCACCTTCATTCTTCATTACTTTTGTTGATTTAAAGGCTATGTTATCTGATATGAGAACTGCTATACCAGCTTTATTTTGGTTTCTATTTGCATGAAATATTGTTTTCTATTCCTTTATCTTGAGTCTGAATGAGTCCTTTTGGGTTAGATGTATTTCCTGGAATACTTGTTGTATTTTTTTGTCCATTAAGTCAACATATGTCTTTTCAGTGGGCAGGTCAAGCCATTTACATTTATTGAAAAAATTGATAAATGGAGTGGATTTCTGTTCACCCTGTTGAGTAGAACTTTGTCACTTTGCTTTATCTCTTGAGCAATTGTGGTATCTGGCCTTGGACCTTTAGCTTTTGGGAGATTTTACACTGGTGGGTGTCTATTGTGCTGATCTCTGTATAACGCAGTTCTGAGTACTTCCTGCAGGGCAGGTCTTGATTTGCCAAACTCCCTCAGCATTTGCTTATCTGAGAAAGTCTTTATTTCCACCTTATACATGAAACTTAGTTTTGCAGTATAAAAATTTTTAGGCTGGCCATTATTTTATTTGAGAAGACTAATAATGGGGCCCTAATCCCTTCTGGCTTGTAAAGCCTAGGTTGAGATGTCTATAGTTAGACTGATGATTTTTCTTTCATAAGTTACCTGCTGCTTTCACCTTATGACTCATTGAGTCACCTCTTTTGTGTTTATTTTGGCCAGTCTAATGACTATGTGTAGTGGTGTTTGCCTATTTGTGATGAATCTCCCAGGAGTCTTTTGAACTTTTTGCATCTACATATGTAGATTTCTAGCAAGACCAGGGAAAATTTCCTCAATTATTCCCTCAAAT